CCCTTCTCCCTTCTCCCGCCCCCCCTTCAGGATCGGCCCCCTCGAAGCCCCCGCCGCCCCGCTCGCATGGTCAGCCTCCGCCACGCCCGCCGCCGACGCGGCGCCGCTTCCCCCTCCCGAGCTGCCTTCGGGCGCGCAGACGAGTCACGTACCGGCGGCGGACGCGACGACGCCGCCCCTCCCAGATGCGCCAACCGGACCCCGTGGCAGCCGCCCTCTCGGCTAGCACGCGAGAGGAGACCTGCTCCGCCCGCTGGCCGTCCCCAGTGGTAGCCTCTCTCTCTCTCTCTCTCTTCGCAGCCCTCGTGCTCACGCGGTGCCTCTCAGTACTCTGCACAACACCGCCCCCCCGCCCTGAGGCGCTGGTGTCCCATCCCGACGCAGGCCGCCCATACTCAGCAGCGAGCAGCAGGCGGCGACGCTGCGCGCCGTGCGCGCCGCCGCCGAGGCGCCGCACGCCGCATCCCTCATATCTCCCCACATCTCCCCACATCTCCCCACATCTCCCCATATCTCGAGGCGCCGCACGCCGCATCCCTCATATCTCCCCACATCTCCCCACATCTCCCCACATCTCGAGGCGCCGCACGCCGCATCCCTCACATCTCCCCACATCTCCCCACATCTCCCCACATCTCGAGGCGCCGCACGCCGCATCCCTCATATCTCCCCACATCTCCCCATATCTCCCAACATCTCGAGGCGCCGCACGCCGCATCCCGAGCCATCCTCCCCCCACACCGCCATGACTCCGCTCCCACTGCTCAAAGCCAACCCTACCTCACTGGCCGCCTCCGACACTGTCCCGCGCGTCTCGCGCCCCAACTGACAACTCATCATTGTCCCTCGGACACCACTCTCCAGCCGCGCTACCTTCGCCCACCTACCGCTCTCGCATGACATCTCGACAATCCTCATATCTCCAGGCCCAAGACTCCTAACCACTGCCCCTGCTCGCCCAGGACCACGAAGCGCCGCCCGCGCGCCCATTGACACCCCAATCAGCCCTCTTGCTGTCCCTCAATCCCCACCCGCCAGATGTACTGCCCTCGCCCACCCAATACTCTCACCCTCCTGACCCGGACAGTCCAGGTACAGGAAAAGCGGGGAAGCGGGGGCCCCCGATCCAA